AAAAAAAAAAAAAAAAGTGCTCAGGCTTTCCTCAGTCAGAAATGCAAGTTTACCCCTTGAGACTGGGAATCACTTGTTTTGCTCTGATGGTACCTGTATGTCTGACCTGCAGAAGGTGGAAAGAGGAGCCTTGTGCCATGAGTTCCCTTAGCCTTTGATAGTCAGTATTTGAAGGAAAAAGACTATGAGGAGCTCCTACTTCAAGAGATAAAAATAGGAAGCAGGAATCGATCTGGGCTTCCTCTCCCACACTAGATGATAATGCCTGACGGGCATCACCATTGTTGCTGAGTTTCTTTGAATGAGTCATTTTCCCAGCACATCTAGTGGGGAACATGTCTCTTTGGTTAACCACTGTGTCCTGGCACTTCCATAAATACCTAATGCGTGAGTCAGAAACTGTACACATATGACTATCATTCCACTAACTTTTTGTTATTTCCCTAAGTTTGTTCAGGTATGGAGGTGTGTTTCTGCACTTTTGTACGTTGGCCTTGCCCTCAGGGAGCTTGCTTATCTTTTAGGGAAGATCATCAGCCAAGTAAGTGTATGTAACAAAAGAGTCAAGAGTGCTGTGGAATTTACAGCAGGGGAACTTCGTCTGAGCTTGAGAAGCTGGGAGTAAGAGGTTTCATCAGAAACTGATTGCCCACAGAAGTAGGGGTGTTTGTCCTGTGCAAAGGGCCTGTGGCAAGTAAAAGAAACCCTGTGTGAGCAGAGAGTAAGAATAGGAGGAGAAAACATGCCACAGAGGTAGGCGGAGCACAGATTGCAGACAGCATAGAAATAATTTTGGGCTTTTCCCGTTAACTTCCTCTAGCTTCTAGGATAAATTTTTTTTAACTTTCAACTTTGAGTTAAACTCTTCTGTAAGTTGCAAAAATAGTAGAGAGTGTTCCTGTATACGCTTCACCCAGCTTCCTCTGCTGCTAACATCTTACATAATCATAGTATAATTATTCAACCTGAGAAGTTAGCATTGGGTACAGTCCTATTAATGAAACTCCAGGCTTTATTCAGATTTCACCAGGTTTTCAACAACACCCTTTATCTGTTTCAGAATCCAATTCAGAATTCCATGTTGAATGTAGTTGTCACGTTTTCCTTAGTCTCCCTCAATTTCCACACACCGAACATGACATTTTACCCTTTACTAGTTCAGTATGGCCCAACAATAAGGATAATAAACAAGTTATCATACCAAAAAAATTAAAACAATTCTCTATATTGTCTACTTCCTAGTCCTTGTTGTTCTTAAGGTATCATTTATGGCGATTTTTTCCATCTAGGTTGCAATCAAGTTTCACACATCACATTTAGTCATTGTTTCTCTTTAGTTAGCTTTGTTCTACTATGCAATATGGTAGCCACTAGCCCATGTGGCTATTTAAAATTAAATTTAAATTAATTGAAATTAAGAATTCAGTTCCTCAGTCACACTAACTACATTTCAAGTACTCAATAGCCACATGTAACTCATGGCTACTGTATTGGACAGCACAGATATAGAATATTTTCATCCTCATGGAAAGTTATAGTGGACATCTCTGTCGTAGAATATTTCCCTTCCACCTTACCCCCTGACGCTGACTTTTCATAAAATGAGAACAATTGTGTTTCAGAGCAGGATTTCTCAACTTCAGTACCATGGACTTTGTCGTGGGCGGTGTCCTGTGCACTATAGGATGTTTAGCAGCATTATTAGCTGCCAGAAGCAGCTCCCGGTGGCAACTGAAAATGGCTTCAGACATTTGCAAATATCCCTTGGGAAGCAAAAATCACCCTTGGCCAAGAACCACTGGTTTAGGTCACTTTGTATTGTTCTGTTTTAGTTAAAGGACTTGGGAAACTAAAAAAGATGGGCATTAGTGTATTCTGTATTGATAGTGTAACAGCATGTATTCAATAAAGTTTAATGAATGAGTGAATGGATATTGAGTGTGTGTTGAGGAGTAGATGAAACTGTTTCTACCAGAAGCTCACAGGTGCCTAACCCTGAATTTCCCCCAGGAGCAGTGGTTCAGTATTGACTAATTCAGTGTTCATGGCAACTCTGTAGAACATAACTATAATGAATAACAAAAAACAACTCTATTTGTTTGCTTGTAAACATCAACTGAGTGTGACCTGGGTCTGCGGGACAATTTGGGCGTGTGCAAAGGCATTAGCTCCCTCTGCCTTTCCCTCCATCGAATGCAGCAGAGGAGGAGTGGGACATGGTGGCTGGGGGCTGGAGCTTTGGCAGTCCGGGCTTGGGTTGGAATCCTGCGTGGCTACATACTGTTCGTGTGTCCCTACGTGTTGCCTAACTTCAGTGTCTTGTGCTTTCATCCATGAAATAGGGGAAATAACTGTCCCTTCTCACAGACTTTCGAGCACAGAATGACGTAGTAAACATAAAACATTTAACAGATCTGTGGCACAGAGTAAGTATTCAGTAAGATTCCTTTCTCTGGTCACTCCCAGCCAGGCCCTGTTTTTTTTTTTTATTTTTATTTTTTTGAGATGGAGTTTCACTCTTGTTGCCCACCCAGGCTGGAGTGCAATGGCACAATCTCGGGTCACTGCAACCTCCACCTCCTGGGTTCAAGCAATTCTCCTGCTTCAGCCTCCCAAGTAGCAGGGATTACAAGCATGCACCACCACTCTAGTCTAATTTTGTATTTATAGTAGAGACGGGGTTTCTCCATGTTGGTCAAGCTGGTCTCGAATTTCCGACCTCAGATGATCCACCTGCCTTGGCCTCCCAAAGTGCTGGGATTACAGGCATGAGCCACCACGCCCGGCCAGGCCTTGTTTATTTTTAAAGCTGTTATTTGGAAATGATCTTCAGAATCTGCAGTGTACGGGTTCTACAGCAACTGCTTTCCCATTCATGATTTCACTAATCCTCCCAATATATGGCAACTAAGATTTGTGTTATGCTGTATGATATTTCAATTACAAAGACATACATGACTGAAACTATGAATGATAAATATCAAACTTGGTTCATGTCAGAACCTAGTGTTGAGGGAGGGGCACTTAGGAGACTTCAACTGACCTGTTTTCTTTCTGAAGCTGGGTGGTGAGCGCACAGGTATTTGTCACATTCGTTTCTATACCTTTTGTTTGTTGTGTATTTTATTAGAGACATTTCAAAAAGTGGTCTGTGAGTGTTTATTTTAGTAGGTTAAAAAGTGCGCTGGGTGTGGTGGCTCACACCTGTAATCCCAGCACTTCGGGAGGCCAAGACGGGCGGATCACTTGAGGTCAGGAGTTTGAGACCAGCCTGGTCAACATGGTGAAAGCCCATCACTACTGAAAATACAAAAATTAGCTGGGCGTGGTGGCGCGCCCTGTAGTGCCAGCTACTAGGGAGGCTGGGGCAGGAGAATCGCTTGAACCCAGGAGGGAGAGGTTGCAGTGAACCGAGATCATGCCACTGCACTCCAGCCTGGGCAACAGAGCGAGACTCCTTCTCAAAAAA